GCTGCCCCCTAGTGTATTGTTCAAGGAAGCTCAAACAGTCGCTGGGGTTATTCGTTTTCTTCTCCACTACATTTTCAAAGGCTCTAATGAAGGATTTATATTGAAGAGGGTCTCCATCAAAAACTTGCAGATTTCTTGGAGGAAGAACAGAGGATATATTTTGCTGAACCAACAGTGCAGTGATTTCGTTTTGTTTTTGCATAATGCCCACCATGTCATTTTGGTTGTTATCGCTTTGAGTTTGAGAGTTTAACATATGTCCCATTTGACGTCCATTTGCAGTCTGTACTTCTTGATACGGAGCTTCTGGCCCAAACGGCCTTCCATACATTTGCTCAGCAAATCCTTGTCTTGGCCTAACAACTGTTGCAGGATCAGGTACAGCAAGAACATCATTTTCATGTCGGACAAAAGCTTTGACAAGAGGATCTAAACCGATGGATCTTTGAGCTTTGCTCCTCTCCAAATAAGAGTTCATTCCATCAGATCGTCTTGAACCGCACTGTGATGAGTTCATTTCAAAAACCTGAAGCCTTGCAGTTGTCGCTGCCAAATCTGTTTCAAGCGCCAATTGCTCCTTTTCTCTACGAAGCTTTTCTTCCTGCGCTTCTATATGATGTTTCCTTTTTAAAGCTTCGGAGCGTTTAAGAAGAGCTGCTCTCTCGGCCTCCGCATTAATGCGCGCCGTGGATGTTGCAGAAATCTTTGATATGCCGGTGGCGCGTGATTTTACAGAACTTGCTCTTACACTTAAGACGTTAGAAATACTATCTGCAGGTTGTATTCCATCATCAACACATCCTGCGTCGATAGGTTCCTTTGGCTGCGAGTATGGATAACCAGCTTTAGACAGCCACTCCTTCACATCTTCAATAAATGCATGACATGATTTCATCTTCTCCTCAAAGGTTTTAGTTTTAGTGGTGAGTATTTCATCTTCTGGTAGAGGCAATTCCATAAATGTTTCATGTATATCGAGTGCTTCTTCATAACACTTAATGAACAAAGCGAGCTGAGTGTTCACCACGTCGGCATTTTCAGTTAATTCCATTAAGGCATGGATTTTATCCATAAGCTTTTTAGCCTGATTAGTTTTTGCAGTGCGTTTTTCTTGACAAGTTTGTATGTAAAAGCACATTCCTTTAGAAGTCAATTTGATTGACCGCTTTGATTCCGACCTCTCCACATCAGTCATTTTGTTGCAAACTTGTAGCCTAATTGTTGACAATGTCAGTGAATGTTCACAATCGGGCAACAAGGTTAGCAAAGATGGCGATCTTTATCGAAACAACTTTGTTTTATACAACAAATCCTCTTCATCCACACAAGCACACACATCACTGGCTTTACCCTTTTATGAATGTATAGGCCACCCGGAGGGTTGATAATTCAACAAGCGCACAGCCAATTAAAGCAGTTCAAGATCACGTACCTCTTCATGAAACCGTTTTCCTATACGGCATTTCTTGCAGTACATACCAACTGGAGATTTCTTAACTCGGGCCAGGCCTCTGTCTCATGCCAGCAGATAATCCACAAAATAAAACAATCCATACTGATTTTCCATCGGGTATCCCAATAATATCCGAAGCGAATTTCAAGGAAAGTTCTTCTTCTTTCTTTAATCAATGAGCGGGTTTTTTACTTGATGTAGTGGCCGTTTGTCAACAACAAAAGAAATTAAATTTAAATCAAACCTTCAAACGACAACTTCTAGCACCCTGGGCAGGTGATGTACGCAGGCAAGAAATAAAATCAATTTCAGGCTGGTTCAGGGTTTTTTACCAGGTTAGAGATGCTGTATTGCTTGCTTTGCTGGAACAAATAAACCTGCCACAACCCTGAACCAGCCTGAAATTGATTTTATTTCTTGCCTGCGTACATCACCTGCCCAGGGTGCTAGAAGTTGTCGTTTGAAGGTTTGATTTAAATTTAATTTCTTTTGTTGTTGACAAACGGCCACTACAGATACATAGATTAGGCTATAGATACATATCTAAATACATAGATTATAGATACATATTATATATACATATCTAAATACATAGATAGATTGTAGATACATATATCTAATTACATAGATTAGATAGATTAGAGATACATATCTAGATAGATTTGGATAGATAGATAAAATGGAGGCTCCCCAGAAGAGATGCCGTACATCTGTGGTGTGAGAGCATTTCCATTTAGAAACCCCAAATAAAGTGAGATGTGTGTATTGTGATCGGCAGCTCGCCTACTACATCAATAGGCCTACATCATCCAGTAGAAACACAGGACAGTTTATGGGAACTTTTTGATACTCGTATCCATCAAACCCAGATGATACACAATGCTACAGCTGATGCCACAGTGGAAGTGAAAAAAATACATCAACGATGCGTATTTGCCCAGAACTCATGATCCACTAACATACTGGAAAGAGAGAGCAGTAATCTTTCCTCATTTGTATGTATTAGCTAAAAGATATCTTTGCATGCCAGCAACAAGTGTCCCTTGTGAGAGGATTTTTTCAAAGGCTGGAGAAATTATCTGTAAAAAAAGAAGTAGGCTAAGTCCTTCCACAGCAGAGAAATTAATATTTTTGAATAAAAATATGTAAAAAAGTGAGACATTGTGGCTTGATTTATTTTATTAATATTCATTTTGCAGGACCAAAATAACATTATGCACAGTGAGGAGCCTATAGGTTGCAAGATTCACATATTAGAAAAGTACAATAATAAAAAAAAAACATTTTTTAATGGCTCGTCGAGGTTTTTTCAGATCAACACCTGCAAGTGACCACTAGGAGTCACAGTGGAGACGGGTGTTGGATTGATTCGAAGTCTCGAAACAATATGGACCATTTGGTTCAACTGTTTCATTGCTTCACGAAGCCTCGATCTGCCCATCACTAGTCCAAGCCTGAACACTTTCACTAGGACGTCATCTGTCCAGTTGACCTGGTTTGAAATCTCCAGGAAATCTTGCACGTACACTTCAATCTGACGGCCATCCTGGAAACAGGTCAGTAAAAGATCGGTTTGAGTTAGATGGGTGCGTGAAATGCCCATATTTAGTTTTAAGGTCAGTTATTCTGTAATGCTTGGTTCCCAAAGGACGATGAAGACAACGAAGATACCAATAATAAGAGGATTTATTCCGAGCACGACTACTACCCAACATACGAAATAGTGTGTATTAAACACAAACAATAACCGACCATGAACACTGACAGAGAGGAACTTAAATACACAGATGAATTAGGGAAGACCATATGACAACAGCTGAACACGGTGAGTGCTGACAATGATGATCGCTGGCAGGTGCGGGTAATGGTGGAGTGAGTACAGGTGTGAGTCGGAGAGGATGATGGGACATGTAGTACAGACGGTGACTAATAGATGACAGTGACACTGAGCATGCGTACGCACAAATTTGTGTGTGAAATGTACATATGGATGATTTTAAGAACAAATCACACTTCACCACAAATTGTGTACTAAAATGTATTCTAAATTTATGAACATTTACGTCTGCAAACGCCTTATATGGAGATAGTTTGGGAGTGTTTTATGTAAATGACTAACCTTGTGCATGAGTGAGTGAATTATTATCAAGGTAATTCTTCCTGTACCACTAAAGTAATAGTTTTATTTTTTTAGCATTTATTAAATTATTTTTGTATATCTGCATTTTTTTCTAATGCAAATCTTGTACATGTATGAATGTACTGAATGTAATGGACCAGTCTCTGTTATCCCGTCTCCATCTTAATGCTGCTGGTCCTCGTGCCGGAGCTGGACTCACGTTCCACGGGGAGCTGCTATAACTTCAGACTGCCGTTATGCTTTTCACTCATAACCTAAAGATGCTGTGACTGACTCCATAATCTGGCCATAAACAAACTGTGCTCTGCGGACATATCTGTTCAAACATCTGTGTGTGTGGCTTGATCTGTCGGAGGATAAACAGCTTCTGCTGGATGTTTGTCGTCTCTGTGTGTGTCAGCAGTTTGTGGCTGAAGCGTTTCTTCATTTTCTCTCCTGCTAATAAGAAGCTCACAATCTTCCACACAAAACATCTTTACACTGAAATAAAGTGAATCCATCAACAGACAAATAAGATTCACGGGTCAGAGGTCAAATATGATTGACAGCTCACAGCACTAAATAACACACCAGTAGATACAGATATCTAATCCAATATTTCACTCTTCTGCTGTTAGTTTTCATTCAGGGCCAGAATTCATTTGAAAATGTAAGATCAGCAAAAGCTTGTTGATGTTTGTGATGTTAAAGGAGACGGATGTGTGAGCGGAAACTAACTGATGTTGGGGGAGGATTCACACACAACCAGATAAATATCTCAGTTCAGTCTTCCAGATCAATCTGAGTGTTTCAGACATTAAGAGTTACTATCGTGGGCTTTTCAGTGAACCGATGAAGAAAATGTTTCTCAGATTAGTTTTGCTCTGTTTGTGTTTCTGGCGTCTGGATGGTGAGTTTTAAATGTGTTTTTCTGGTTCTAGTATCCTGTGATAAATTACTGGTTAAAATAGTCAGAAAAGATTAACATTCACTGTTATTTTCACATAGAAACAAAAATGATTTTGCTAAAAGTCGATCTTTTTAATGCAGTTATTGATTATATAAAAGAACTGATAAGAATGTAAATGTGTACCTTGAAATGCAATGTAAGTCGCTTTGGAAAAAGCGTCTGCCAAATACATAAATGTAAATGTAAATATAAAACTGTTTAACTATTTCTCATTTTCATTCATCATCTTTTGTCTTTGAACTGCTGCAGAATATTTATCATTTCACATTTACATGATTAAAATCTGATTAAAAATATTAAAATAAAGTATTTTAGTGACGCTTCATCAAACCAATATCAAGTGATATCTGTGAAAAATGTATTCTAAATATATCTGTGAAAAACTCTGTTCATCAGGTGTGTTTGGTTATTCAGTTTGGTATGATGATGATTATGAAATGGAGTCAAAGTCAGTGATGATGTCTGGTAATAATCCTTTTGGAGGTAAGGTGAAGGAGGGAGATTCAGTCACTCTAAACTCTGATCTCACTGAAATGAAGGATGATGATGTGATTCAGTGGAGGTTTGGAGATGAAAACACTTTAATAGCTGAAATCAATGTAACGGCCGACAGAATCACTGTATATGATGATGTTCTTGATGGGAGATTCAGAGACAGACTGAAGCTGGACAATCAAACTGGATCTCTGACCATCACACACACCACAACTGAACATGATGGAGATTATAGACTACTGATCAACCGTGAGATCAAGAGATTCAATCTCTATGTCAGGAGTGAGTAAACCTTTTGAGTGATACTGTCCCACACAGGCCCGCCGACAGGGGGGGACAAACGAGTCTGTTGTCCCGGGCCCAGGGTAGGGGGGTGTTGGGGGGGGGGGAGAGAGATTTTGAGAGAGATTTTATTTTCTCAGAAATAATTTTAAAAATGTCAAATTTATATATTGTTTATGTTCTATGAAAACTTTTTCTCTCGAATATTCTTTTTTCTCTCATGAAATGCTTTTTTTGCTATCAGTGTGATAACTTTTTCTCTCAAACTTTGTTTTCTCTCTCAGATCATTTATTTTCTTACATTTAAAAAAGACACACTTCTAGCTCCATATTAAATGGCCTATTGGTTTCACCTGTTTTTAATGACAAAATTAAATTAAACTTATTTTTTTCTTTTCATTGTTTTACAATATTGTTTATTTCAGTCACTCTAAACTCTGATCTTAGTAATAGTAGTTTATAGTAATCATCAGGGGCCGTATGTATAAAGCCACTCAGAGTAACATTTTAGTCTCAAGTCTGTCAAAATTCTAAGAATTACATAATTTTACTCTTATTCCTAAACTTAAGAATAAGTGTGATTCATAAAAGTTCCTAATTGCTAAGACTTGGTCTCAGCTCCTAAATTATTTAAGAGAGCTGGAGAGGTCTCCTAACCTAGTAAGGAGTAACAAGATGGCAGCAGAGAGGTTAGGCCATGCACTTTTCAACGAAAATATGATGTATTGTAGTTAAATGAGTTGATCAAACAATAATAAAAAAAAAAGTTTAATCATCAAGGTATTCTTTTTGTAACTTACCTTTAAAAAGTTTCATAGCAATGAAATTAAAGTAATAATTATATTTTTGGCGACTGGAGAAATGCAGCAGTGCACCTGTGATGATATATTTATTTTAATGGCTGGTGAGCCAAAGACAATTTTCCACCGCGGTGGACAATAAAGATATTACAATTAAAAAGCTCACAGGAGAAAAAAAAATCATATATTGTCTGCAACAAAATCATTTATTAATATTTGATTTTCCTCTCTTGTTTTTTCACCTGTTCATAATTTATTTGTATGACAGCTTGGCTAAAAATTATGTCAATTTGGAATGTTTCATTATGTTATCACAAATAAACAATTGACTCCAGGCACAACTACACAATACGCTTACAAAATATTGAACACATTTTTAATACTATTTGAATAAAGGGTGAATCTGACAATTTTCCTTCAATACTAAGTTGTGATAATTTTGCACAATGCAAAGCCATTTAAAAAAAATACATTTAAATATTAAAGTTTCAGTGTCTTAATTAAATTATTTTATTATAATTACATTAAATAATTGGTGTCATGCTGCTGTGACCTCACCCTTGCAGGCTCACTATTGGCTGATTCAGAGGTTGAGGGCGGCCATTTTGGGTTAACATCATTGTAGTTCTTAGTTTGCAGCACTTAAGTCCCACTTCAGTCAGCACTTAAGAATCAGTCTTATACTTTACTGAAAGTTGCTTTTAGCTGCTTTATAAAAGTCTCCTACTCTTAGAAAAGTCCTACTCTTTACTAAGTATTTTTTTACACTTAAGCCAAAGCTTAAGACTATTCTTAAGATCATTTCTTAGAAGTTTTATACATACGGGCCCAGGATTTTAAATGTATGCGATGTTTGATAGAGAGCAACGCAGTGTTGACAGAACCGGCTAATATGATGTCACTTCCTGGTTCTAGTAAGAGCTCGAGCTGCTGGAGTTTGCTTGGTAACGCTTTAGATTACAGCGCGCAAATACTGCGAATTTAAAACAAATTAACAGTGTAACTTTCGGTAATTATAGTGTACCTACAACATGTAACGTTTAAGGAATAAAGGAGTAATAACCAGAAGAATTAACAAATTATTTGTACTGTATTTTAGAACTAAGGGTTTCTTATTCTACTATTATGATACAACAATCTTACATTTGGGAAAAATTTAGCGAGAACATTCATTGATTAAGATAATATAAATATGAAGCTCAGATAATCAACAGCTTTAGTTCCCTTTCGTTGTCACTCCGAGTTCCGTCGGATGACAACGAATGGGGTTTCACTTAGAAAGCCTATCCACTTCGAGTACTACAAAACGAGCCAATGGCAAAGAAATGCCATGGGTCTGCGGCATTTGCATAGCGTAACTCCGCCTCACCTTTTGGGTATTTAAGGAGAACGCTGGCAGCAATTCAACATGTTTTCGCTTCGGAGCCAAGTTGATCCTTCGTTCCACAAGCCATTCCTGTACTGTCAGTTCTGTAAGACGAGCGAGATTTTCTGGTGTTGGTGTGACGGCGATCTCCCGGCGAGCGCGCACTTCCTGCTTATCTGTCTGTGATTCGACAGCGAGTGTGTTTCTCCCCGGGCGCTTCAACACAGTCAGAGTTTCTTTCCTCTCACAAAAGAGCTTGCACGCGGCACGTCTTTTTAAAGATGCATCGCCCGTGCACTTCTGGTTGCGGTAGACTCGTTGCCGACTCTGATGGGCATGAGCGTTTCATAGTGTGTTTGGGCATTGATCACGCTAGAGCAGCGCTCGTGGATGACTCATGTTCTCTCTGTGGGAACATGACCATCGCAACATTACGATCGAGACTCGGTGATCTCGCAAGAGTGAGAGCCCCCTCATCCATCCCCCGTTCTACTGACTCTAAAAATCTGAGGGTGACGGTTTGGAACAAAGCGCCGGCTATCCGTCCGTGCCCAGCCGCACCCTCTTCAGTGTTGCAACCCGTGAGTGTTCAGGGGATTCCCGCGGGACCATCTTAGGATGCACCGCGGGTTTCCTTCGGAACTCCAGAGGAGGACGCGATGTCTATTGCAGCATCACAAGGTGGGTCTGAATCTTCTGGAAGTGAAGACTCAGCACAGCTGCCACCTTCCAGTGTGCATACGGTTGTGCCTGAGTCGGATCCGGAGATGACGGCCATGCTTGCCCGAGTGGACCCCTCCACCCTGTCCCGAGCGCTCGCGGTTGGATGATTGGTACTTGGGTAACGCCGCGGACCCCCGTCCGCGTCAAACCCCAATACCTTTCTTCCCGAACGTGCATGATGAGATCTCGAAGTCCTGGAAGACCCCCAGCTCTTCCCATGACCGCTCGCTGATTTCATCCGCCTTTCCTCCCCTCGATGAGGCGGCTGCCCGTGGGTACACTGGGTTCCCCCCGGTTGAACGCTCTGTTGCGATGCAACTGTGTCCTCAGAGCGCTTCTTCTCGTGGTGAGCCTAAGCACCCATCCAAAGCCTGTAGGTACTCGTCTACGCTAGTGGCGAAGTCTTACAGAGCGGCGGGACAGGCAGCCACCTCTCTGCATGCCATGGCCATTCTGCAGGTCTACCAGGCCCAGATGCTCAGGGACATGCACGAGGGCAGGACAGACCCAGGGCTCTTCAATGAGCTGCGCACCGCCACCGACCTTGCTCTCCGAGCGACGAAGGTGACCGCACGCTCCCTGGGTTTGGTGATGTCCACAGCCGTGGTCCAGGAGAGACACCTCTGGCTGAACCTTGCTGATATGCGGGATGCCGAGCGGTCCCGGCTGCTCGACACCCCCATATCACAAGACGGCCTCTTCGACGGGGCAGTCGAGGATTTTGCCCAACAGTTCTCGACTGCTCAGAAACAGACTGAGGCTATTAAGCATATTCTGCCCCGACGGCCCGCTGCTGCCTCCACCCAGCCGACCGGGCAGAATACTCAGTCTGTTCGCGGCAGAGGGCGCCCTCCTACGGCTCCCGCCCCTCCCGCCCGGCCCAAGCAGCAGCCTCCACCCGGGCCCGGTCGCGGAGAAAGCCGTAAGAAGGCGCCCCAGCCCTCTCCTGCCCCGCCCCCCGCTAAACGCCGGGCCAAGCGGCGCTCCTGAGACGGGCTGCTTAGGGATGATGATCACTTCTCAGGAGTAGGGAACGACCACTCCTTCCCCCGGTGGAGGGCCGGGGGAGAATCTTTTGTTCACCACTCCCCGCTGCTCACCCTCGGCTGGGCAGCACCCTTATGTGGTTAAAGAAAGAAGTGATACATTCATCCCTGAGCACACAGAGTTCTCGGACGACACGGTGCGCCGCCCCCGGGCCGTGCACCCCTCGTCCTCCTCTGTCCCAGAGCCGGATGACAGTGCGCGCCGTCCCCGGACCGTGCCGCTCTCATCCTCCTCTGTCGCCAGACCCCTGGCAGAGCAGACCCCCGTGGAACGTTCAGGACGCGGTCTATGACTGTACCCCCACACCGGGCCACTACGCCGTCCACGTCTGGGTTAGCCATACCGCCTCGCTGCTCCACCGACGGGAAGTCTGTAGTTCGCATGACCCCGCTGGTACAGTCCTTGGGAGCCTGGCTAGAGCTTCCCAACCTGTCCCGCTGGGTCGCACGAACGATCAGGCTCGGCTACGCGATTCAGTTCACACGGTCTCCTCCCCGCTTCAGGGGAGTCCACTCCAATATGGTCGGTGGCAATGCCCCTATCAGGAGAGCGGAGGTTGCTACCCTGCTGGCGAAGGGTGCGATCGAGACTGTCCCTCCAGCCGAAATGATGTCCGGGTTCTACAGCCCGTACTTCATTGTCCCGAAGAAAACCGGTGGGTTACGGCCAATCCTGGATCTGCGCGTTCTGAACCGCTCCCTTCACAGGCTGCCGTTCAAGATGCTCACCGCCAAACGCGTTTTCGAATGTGTGCGGCACCAGGATTGGTTTGCAGCGATCGACCTGAAGGCGCCCACTTTCATGTCTCCATCCTCCCTCGACACAGACCGTTCCTGCGGTTTGCTTTCGAAGGGCAGGCATATCAGTACGCAGTTCTCCCATTCGGGCTAGCCCTGTCTCCTCGCGTCTTCACGCAGGTCGTCGAGGCAGCCCTTGTTCCTCTTCGGGAACACGGGGTTCGCATTCTGAACTATCTCGACAACTGGCTGATCCTAGCTCACTCTCGAGATCAGCTTTGCGAACACAGGCACTTGTTGCTCCGCCATGTAGCCCGTCTGGGCCTT